GTTGGAAAATTTCACGTTTTTTCTTTTTTTCTTTCAAATTTACCGAAGAAATTGTGATTATGTAAGTATACTTCAGAATTGTACTAGAAGCAGAGAGGGTTTTCCGCTTATTTAAGGCCCACTTGGGTGAAGACAGAAGATGCGGACGAAAGACAAAAACGGCTCTTCTTCTTCTTCTAATAGGTTAATATGGAGATGTTAGCTCTTTGCGTCCCGCATCTTTAATTATGAAGTAAAGTCACCATGTACCTGCATTTATTTTAAAATCAAAATAAAAATTTATATTTTGTTTAAATATCGGATTTATAATGTTTCTGATTTAATAAAATTATTTTATAAATTAAACAAAACGTTATTAAGTGAATATATATATATATATATTAAAGTTATATTCGTTTTATATAAATTATATTTATTCTTATCGGTTTGTTAAATTTCCTGCCAATAGATGCCGCTACGTTAAAACGGGAACGATATAAATCAATTGATTTACCGAAACCCAATAGCTATTTTTGAATGAGATGTTCGACATTATGTAAGTAAGATGTATGTGAACGTAACTGCCGAAATAAATGATACTTTGAAATAAAAATAAAAAAATGTGAGCAACTGACGGCGCGAAACAGTACTGAAGCTGGGCAGCCAACAGCTCAGACCGCTCGGCCATCAGCGCCCACAGTAACATATTTCGTGTTTAGCCTATTTATACAGCTACTTAATCTAAAGTACACTTAGTTCCATCCATTGACAGGAAATTTAACAAAACGTTCTTAAGTGATTATCTACAGTATATAAAAGTGGAAAACTGTTTCTGTCATGGTATGCCAAAAGCGGAATTAAAATAGCCCCTAGCTACTATTTAAATTTAAATTAACAATATATATTATTTTATATTTTTACAGTATATTATTAATTTTTTTAAGTTAATTTTGAAGGATGTTATGAATACAAAATTTTAAGTTTGTTTAAGAATCTTTTTTTTTTTGAATTATGTGAAATTTAAGCACTAGTCTAAATAAATTATATATTTTGTTGTAATTAATTATAATTTTCATCTCATCTTGCCTCCCACAATTTTATTTAAAAGAGATGGGGCAGCCATGACATAAATCGATAAACTATAATCTATAATACACTGAATGAAAATTTGTGAAAAAAATAATGCCTAACACATTATTCAATGACGTATGTTTACAGAATCGCCATAGAATTATTTGTATAATCCTTAACCTTGTATTATTTAACATTAATATTAAATTACACAAACCATTCGTATTAAAATCTACTACAATAATAGATATTTTTATTCTTAAAACTATTGTATTCATTACATGTATAATAAATGGCATAAAATTGATATTCATATGCATGATCATATTTACTATGGTATAAAAAGTGATTTACCATATAAATCTTTTATGTTTTTAATCTGAAATAGCCCTGGCTGTCTTTAGTCCACATTATCTTAGATAATCAGGGTTCTACTGTATTATTTAATGGTTTAATAATATGGTTTTAAAAATAAACAAGTAAAACGGCAAAATCGTATATGGGACAAGACAATGGCTGGGAGACTCACACTAAGCAGAATCACTTTGAAGCTGAATGCGGGTTTCGTTCTCATTCTCCAATCTTCTTTGGTATCGCTGCTTTTGGGCGCGATCGTTCAACTTTTGCTGGCCGCGACCACGTGGTTGTCCACGATGCATTTTCGATGAAATTAACCTATCCGATTTCCAAATTTCTCTCCGTTGCGTGTCGGCCCGGGTTGAATTTTTGTCGATGCGTAACGAAAATTTCTTGTTTTTGAAAAAAAATAATCGTGGCTATTGTATCTTCCGAAATTATTTTTTCATTTTGCACAAACAATTTACAGTTTAACCCGATTATAACGTCATCGGATGTAACGACAACCTAATATAACGTCAAATTTTTATCGGTCGCACGGTTTTACTATACTAGATAACTAGGTAATGGGTTGCCTATGCTTAATACTCTACTGGTGAATGTTATTGAGATTGTTGGTGTATATGTCCTGTAAGAGTTCACTGTTTCTGTGTGAAGCTAAGATAATTGTGTTGTCCGCATAGCCCTGCATGTAGGCAGCCAGGAGGCAGGGTGTCGTTCAAGTGCAGGAGAGACCAGAACAAGACCTAGATCCCTGAGGACAGCCCCGAGTGATGGGTATGATTACGTTATTTTGTGTTGTATAAACATTTGCACTCTTGTTTCTAAGGTAGGATTAAAGAGGTTTGTAAAGATTTTGAGGGCAGTAATAACCGTCTAGTGTGTGCAAGGTAGAAGGCCACCAAGCGTGATCAAAGGCGTCTCTAAAGTCAATAGTGATTATTGCCGTATGCTGATTATTAAGCTTAGCCTGGTGGATGGCATCTTCAGTACCTTTGTTTTAGAGAAGCCGAACTGATTCTGATGAAGCGCTCTACGCTTGCTAGATGCCAAGTGATCGTATTAATCATTAGATCATCTAACACTTTTCCCAGAGTTAAGAGAAAGCAGATCGGTCTGTCTTTTTTGTAAGTGTTAGCGCTGGTAGATTTGGGAATCAATTTAACATTAGCCTTCTTTCATTGAGTAGGAGAAAGGCCAGTGTTCAAGCAGATATTAAAGAGGATAATAAATACTGTAGGATTGGCCTCAAATGCTCATTTAAACACAAATCGGCGAATTTTTTGTGTTCTGTTGCAGTAAGCAGAACAGTCACTACGTGCGTGTCGAAGGTGAATTTTATATAAAGGTGAAAGAAGAATAAATTCGTAGTAAAGCAATTAAGAAAGAAATTGTTCTCTTTGAAGCATCGTAGAATTAAGAACGTCGTAGCGGCGACAAATAACCCATCAACGTGCAACTAAAATACCACGTAACACAAATACTGAAAATATGAAGTACAATTGTCGAATGCGTAGTATAAAATTTTAATAGCGATGATTGTAGCTGGCGATTCCAAAAAACGTAGGTGTAGTGCATAAAATAATTATTAATTAATTAAGAACGAATTAAAGTATACTTAATACGAGCAAGCCAAAATTTAACTGATTTGTCAGGTCGAACATTGCAGCTATCGCAGGATGTAAAGTGTGCAACCGTTGATCGTCGAGTAATAACTTATTTGCAAAATTTTCAAAAAATCGTTTTTTCCTTTAATTCAAGCAATCGTTCGAATTAAAAACGAACTGCGATAGTTAAATGTGCACTGTGGCGATTAACTTTTATTCGAAGATAAACGTAGACACACCCGTCAAGACGCGAGAGTCGAAGTTGTTGGTATATATAGGGTTGGACCGTTACTACTCGGTGTACAACTTCGGTCGTACATATTCTAAAATTGAAAAGATACAGAGAAGATCAGCACGGCCCCTGTGCAAGGATAACACGCAAAATCGTGAAGCGTTCCATATCTTTTTTCATTTAACTATTGGAATCGTTTTCACGCCGAAACGAGCCTTTTACCATGTGAGCGGTCTTAACAGTTAAAAAATATCGTTTCGATTTATCTATATACATATATATATGTATATAAATGGACGTGTGTGACCCTATATTTCACTTTTCCGCCAAAATTACACATAGCAGATGAATGGTGTTTGTATGAGGTAGTAGACCCAAGTTTCCATTCGTGCACTATGGTGGTTGCGTCTCGATAGCTATAAGGGCGCGGGAGATACGGGGCTGAAAGTGGTTGAAAGTAATTTTCTATTTCGAATTTTATGTTCGAATTTGTTCGAATTTAATTCGAACAATATTTGAATTTGAATTCGAACATAAAATTCGAATATTGGTTCGATTATAGAACGATTGTAAACGTTTCAGAAACGTTAAAAATAGTTCGTTTGACTGGACGTGAACAGGAGACGTTCAGAAATAGAATCGGGACCAAGTCTCTAATTAGTCTGGAAACGGGGGACCTAATTCTTGCATTCTGTGAAAACGGGTAAGATTGGCTATAATGTAATTATCTTAATTTTCACTATCGTTACTTTTTGCCCACAAATAAAAATCCAGCGAAACGGGTCCTTGCAGCTAGTTTAAACATAAAAATAGTAAAATACGTGGCCGATAGTATTATATTTAATTGTAGAAATAAAGCTTACAGATATAATTCTCGAAATGTACAGCACTGTACGACTGTAAATTTTCGGTTTCTTATGTTGAGCGAGAAAGTTCTGATGAAAGAAGGACTCGTTCGTGTCGACTATCCCGGGGTAATGTTGTTAAAAGTTCACAGAGAAGTTCAAGTCAGCTCAGCATAAGTGTCAAGAGTAAAGTAGAGATGGCGACCAAGTAAAATATAACACAATGAGAAATCAGAGAGAGAAGCTCCCTGTGTCCTTAGAATCAGAGTTTTTATCAGTTTTGGTTCCAGATTAACCGCTTCGATTGGTATTTTTCCTCATTTCCACTTTCTAATTGATCGTCACTTTCGTAACCTTAAGTTGATCGATGTTTAAATTTCTCCACGGATCGCCAAAATTTTGTCGCATACAACCAGTGGTTCACGAACCACCGGTTGGCACTCAGGCTTTCATAAATGTAAATATGCAGTCTCACTTTACGCGATGAAAAATTTTAGTGATTAAAAACTAATTTCGCTATTAATGTATGTCTATGAATTACGAACGGTAACACTATTCAAGCAAATAGGAAATCATACAGAGCAAGACAAACCGCACCTTAAAAATGTTACATGTAAATAAGTAAAAACCGAAGTAACTTTATTTTATTTAAGATAAAGTAAATAATCTTCTAAATGTGTGTATTGCTCAAGAGCAGGCTTACTTGTTAGTCATACAAATATTTTGTACAGTACATTTCAACTGTTTGCTTAAAATATGGAATTAATCGAGATTCTTACCTATTAGCGCTAAACAGTTTCGATTGACAGTTAAAACGGGAAACAGTAGCATTGTTAATTGTTAAAAGTTGTTAAGAATAAATATCTATACATCAAATTAATGTAAAATAAATACTGATTTTTTATTAACAGACTTAACTTATGCAATTTTCGACAGCGTAAAAAATCGGTGTAACGAGTATATACACCAGTTTTACATAAAATTCTTCATGACACCTTCATTCTTGTCAATTAGTTTATTTTTCATTTATAAATTGCTGTGTAATCGAAACATTTTTGTCATAAATTACTGCGGATAGGTCGCATTTCGATGTATGCTTGGTTTGCAAGCTGCATCCAGGGTCATTCCGTATATCCATCCAGTGTATCTAGACACATCAGCATAAATGTTTGGTATACCCTCCATTCCACATCCAATTCCAGCCGAAACGATTCCGCAAACGACATAATAATGGTTAATCCAAACAAGAAGACTTCCTCCAGAATCACCCTTTTGTATAAAAATAAATTAAAATAAATAGTTTTCACATAACAATATTAGCGAAAAAATAGTAATACTACGCTAGAAACCTCAGTTTATTCAGATTCAGATAAAAACACGATAATGTTTAAATAGACCTTAATAAAATTTAATAAATAAAAATTAATGTTTAACAATGGAAAGCGTTTGTTATTCTAAAAGTATTTTATGTAGCTAACGAAATTCTAGTTGTTGGACTAATTTTATCTTTTCACTTTTAATCATACTCGCGCATTATTTTGTATTTCTGATTTATTATATTGTAGCTGTTGTCCTATTTTTAAACAGTATTCACGTCCACGTGCCGTGTGCGTGAGTGGACAATACACGATGCCATTCGATGGTCCAGTTGCGATGACGACGACTCCACGCCAGACGTGCAGCCCCGTGTCGAGCGATTAATGCGCCCCGTTGCTGGTTGCCATTCATGCACCATGACGTCGTGCAACTTGTTGCGAATGGTTTTAGTGGACACAGACGCACCTGTTATCCGCGATGAGCGCGTGTTGCGTGTCGTGGTAAAGGGATCCCGACAAGCCATTCGGCGAATCTGCTGGTCTGTGCGCTCTGATGCGAATCGTTCCCTTTTCGGCGTGTTCTCAGATGTTCCTGCGTCCATCGTGTCACACATTGCCGGATGGTACTAACGTTGTGCCCAATACGCGTAACAATTGCGTGAATCGATAAACGGAGGTCGCGCAGCTCCATGATATGGTGTCGTTCCGCAGCTGTTAACTGATGGTATACGGCTCGCTGTTGTCTCCGATGCATTTTTTACGTTTCTTCCAAATTTCGGCTGCTGCGAACAGTCGCTGATAGCATTTACGGGCCGAGCCTGTTGCCGTAGTCTATAGCTAAATACACATGACTTGATACGTACAGTACGTATACTTAATCATTTACATATCTCTGTCACCTCTACCAGTTTTGTAATTTGCATGTGGTTACGCGCATTTTTTTTTTGTGACGTTGCGATTTCACTTTTGAGGAATGTAGAAAAGTAACCGTCATCATGGATAACTATTTTCAAATTCATGAATCTGAAATTGTCTTCGTATGCAGCGTGTTCTAAAAACGCAATGCAATGCTATTAGTCTTTAATAGCTGTTTGAAACATTGTTCACTAACGTGATAAATTAATTTTAGAAATTTAAGCCAAATGACTGTACTTATAAAACTATGAAAGTGCAATCCCTAATCTTGTGAAAATCATTTTAAATAATTTTTTATGTAAAATGCAACGGCGTAAACAGATTTGAAATCAAACGAAACAGGAGATTAAGAGAAGCGTAATCTATTAAATTCTAATAAAAGTACAAACAAGAGAAAGTTGTCATTGAAAAGTTTCTTTGAAATAACAAGACATCGTAGAGTTACTTTTCTGGTTGCTAATATCTAATGCTCACTAGAGCCGATCGAGTAAAACCACTGAACACTAGTTGGTCATAGGTTTACACCCCTAGTCAACGGGCTGGCCACGTGGAATTTTCCGGGTTTTTTCAACGTTATCAGCATTTCAATAGAGGCATCCCTCATAAAAGACCTTCTGGGAGAAATTACCTATATCGGTAGATCGCCCGCGTGTCGCGTTGCTGTAATAAATAAATCAAGCCTGTTATATATAACAGAGGAAAAGTATTAAATATTAGTGTGTTTTTTGTGTCTAGGGGGGCACAGTTATATACCCACTTTGAAGCTTAATAGGTGCTATTCTTTTTGTTGAAAATTTCTAAAATTTTGGAGGGAGGATTTTGTATGGGAATTGACTAATGACTCTAATTCTCATTTTATAACTTTTTATTTTGTTTTAGTGTTTTTAGCTTTAGTCGTTTATTTATTTGCTAATTTTTTTGATAGTGATAACCGATTATCAGTATTATTTTTCGGTAATCAAGTTAACGGTCCAACGATTTCAATTAAGATTTAATTTTAAATTGCTCTCTAATTCTTAGGATCAATTTACGAATGCGACTGCCTGTTTTTTTTCACAAGTGTTCATAGTCATAGTGACTTTAAACGTGAATGCTATGCACGTCTTCAGACAGATTCGTGTGAGCAAGATGTAAGACATCGAACTCAGATTTCATTTAGTCTCCATATTCTGCATGTGTGCGATGACCAACTTCCATTCTAAACAGTGTCTGTTTAATCTTTAATAAGGTTAAGTAAATTTTGTTTCGTATCTATATGATATTCTTTAATATTTCCTCTTCACAATATAAATACCTCGTTTACGAAAGATACGAGTACGACAATAATCTGAAGCAGTATATTTTTACTAAATTTCATTTTCAAAAAGTNTTTTGGAGGGAGGTTTTTGTATGGGAATTGACTAATGACTCTAATTCTCATTTTATAACTTTTTATTTTGTTTTAGTGTTTTTAGCTTTAGTCGTTTATTTATTTGCTAATTTTTCTGATAGTGATAACCGATTATCAGTATTATTTTTCGGTAATCAAGTTAACGATCCAACGATTTCAATTAAGATTTGATTTTAAATTGCTCTCTAATTCTTAGGATCAATTTACGAATGCGACTGCCTGTTTTCTTCACCGGTCTTCACAGTCATAGTGACTTTAAACATGAATGCTATGCACGTCTTCAGGCAGATTCGTGTGAGCAAGATGTAAGACATCGAACTTAGATTTCATTTAGTCTCCATATTCTGCATGTGTGCGATGATCAACTTCCATTCTAAACAGTGTCTGTTTAATCTTCAATAAAATTAAGTAAATTTTGTTTCGTCTCTATATGATATTCTTAAATATTTCCTCTCTACAATATAAATACCTCGTTCACTAAAGATACGAGTACGACAATAATCTGAAGCAGTATATTCTTACTAAATTTCATTTTCAAAAAGTAAGAATTGAAATTTAATTTTACCAGAAATATGTAGTTGTAGCTTAAAAATTTTTAGCTATTATTTATAATTATAAGTGCATTACGAATTTACAATTAATATCGTTAGTTCGTGTAACATTTTAACAGAATTATGACTAACCTTACAAGAAGCCATCCCTTTTCGTCCTCCGACACAAAGTTTGGTCTTATTAACGGAATAATAATATTTTCTACATTGGTCTTTGGAAACAAGTGGAATGTCAACCCGATGCAAAATATACTTAGCGTCGTTTCCTATCATATCATAAAACACGTTAGAACAGAACTCTCAAATATAAAATACAATACATTTCCTACTTACTATAAGAATTTCTAAATATACTTACTGTATCCAGTCCAAGGATAGTATTGCCACCCCCAGATGGTGCACATTGTTCCAATAGGAAGCTGTGCATTTACAGGAGGTAAAACGGCGGCTTTTATATCTTTACCTAGATGAACAGGTGGATCGATCCCAATAAGTGCGATGTCATTATTTGCTCTTCTGCCATCAAATTCCGGATGAATTACGAGATCGTTTATGGATCGAACTTCGTGGGTGACTTCATCAGTTGTTGAAATGTCAAAATCCCCAATTATCAATAAGATATCGCTTAAATGTGGTAGACTAAAATATAATTTAAAATTCTTTACTTTCTTTAGATAGGTTATTAGATATTATCAGTTAGTTGAACATTATGTTACAAAGAAATTTTCTAGTATTACATCTTAAATCCAAGCATATTTTAATACTAATCAAAAGTCAAAAAAGAGCAAGTGAACACAACGATACCGACATCATTGCTAACCAGTTTACCAAAACTAGTTTCGTTTATAGCACTAGTACTAAACTTTATTCGCTAACAAATTTATTCAATTGTTATCACTTTTTTTAAAATATATTCATGCAAAACAGTTATAATTACGTACCGGTAAAGACAATGAGCGGCTGTTATTAAATGTTTTTCGGTAACCACAGTGGCTAGACACAATCGTTTTTTAGGAGTATGAATCTCGGCCTGAAAAAATAATTCATTTCTTAATTAATTAATATTTATCTGCAGATATCTTCATTCATGCCAGACATTTTATCTTACTTACCACAAATCTCATTTGGTCAAATCTATCTTCGGCAGTGAAACCTCCAACAATTCTAGCTTTCCTATGATTTATAACTTCTTCCATCTCAGGATAACACATAGGTCCTAAAAATTTCAAAAAATATCTTAATACATTAAACCTTTTCATCTCTCTTCTTTTATTTCTTAAACAAGCTTTGTGCAAACAACCCTTTGATATGATTATAACAGTAGTTTATATATATAATTTTATTGTTAAATATTGATAAAGTCGCATTAATAATCTTTCGGTTGAGCTAGAAAACAATATTTATAAAGCTTCGGCAATTTGGCATTATATTTATTCCTTTAACTCATAATTAATTAAAAANATTGAAAAATATAAAAACAATAAAAAATTATACTTCAGAAGTTAATTTAGTATCAAAAACGTAAAATATTTCAGTAACCCAAGACATAGCCAAAGATTGAAGAGCCACAGCACTGGCGAAAATTTAAATTTGCCGACTGGAATTCTTTCGGATAATTGACGTTTCGGATGATGGATTTTCGGATAATCGACGCTCTACTGTATACTGAATTATGCTAACGTATTGATATACTGTGCTAGTTGAAAGTCATGCTTGCTTACTAGAAATTGCTGTAATAAAAAAAAATGAAAAAAAATAGAATGTTTGCTTTTGACTTGCAGAATATTTTACACTCGTTTATATTTACTTTAACCTCGAAAATCTTAAGATTAGCGGGTGACTTTTATTTCTTTCGTATAATACTTAAGAAGCTTAAATAACAAGTATAACCTGTAATTGGTCAAAACTAACAGAGCAGGGTGTGGTAGATCGTCCGTATGCTATTTAACTTACACGTCTGAGTGAGATGGTGATTTAGCAGAAAATTGTTTTGTTTTTTGAAAAATACTATTGTTTTGCTTGTTATTGTGTCGTATGGTATGATTAAATAACTTCAGTTTAAACAGATTTTTAAATAAAATGCACTTTTACATTCACAGCTTACAAAACTTTAATTGCCATATAGACACTAATTAAAAATCATCCTAAAATAACTCCTGAATACTTCTTTATTCTTAAATGCAAATTTGTAAAGTCATTCCGATATAACGAAAATATTTAAAATTTTAGTTTTGTCATCGAATGAAATTTAAATATTTAATTAAAAACGTTATTATTCAGCTGCGTTGGCTTTTAGTATTGACATTTATTATATATTATTATTACTATTATTATTAAAAATGATATTTCTATCGTACTCGTTTCTTTCGTAAATGGGTTATTTATATGTCCATCCGGTTTCTCGCAACCCGATGATTCTTCCTCTCTCAAACTCAGTTAATTCTTCATATGGTCTCCTATTGCGACGTAAAGGCATCTCTAGTGATACAGCATCCCTCTGCAACAGTTAAACTACGGACAGGGTGTATTTGCGCTTTTTTTTGTAGGCCACTTTAACTGGCTCACTACTGGCATTATGCAATGGGCCAAAACGCCATAACTCTAATCTTCTTCAGACTTATCTTACGACAACGTCTTCCCAGTGCGCTAATTTTTATGGCAATGAACGAATATTTTGTTTTAAGAACCGTATTGTTTATCTACTAATTAATTGTTAATTCAAAAAAAGTACATCAAGTATAATTTGTTACAAACCAATATACATCTTTTTTAGATTTTATTATTATTCATTTAATTAATACATAATTCTAGTTGGTTTACAGAAGTCATAATCATCATCATCTAGTTTACACAAGTACCAAGAGTTAAAAGTTAATGAAACCATTAAAAATCGTAAAATAAATTTTAAAGGTCAAATAATATGTTTGGTTTGCAACCAGCATCTTTTGTATTTTCATATATCCACGTAACATATTTTGCTACGTTAGTATAAATATCAGGGGTATTCAATCCTCCGCATTTATATCCACGCGAAATAACTCCGCAGGCAATATAATAATTGTAATGTTCTAAAAGAACTGATCCTCCCGAATCTCCCTAAAGTAAAATAAAGTTTAAAAACTGTAAAAATTTCCAGTATTTTAATAAATTCATATTTTTTTATTTTTAAAAAATTATCTTAACAATAGTAGTATATATAAAATCTAAATGCAACTAACAAAATATAAAATGTTTAAAATACACAGTCTATAACACTGTTGATAATTTCGTTTTATATGAATTCCATGTTGTACGAGTCACTTAGATTTTACAAATACGTGTGCCGTTCACAGCACGGCTCACGGTAAATCAAAGTGTGTAAAGTACAGATTTTTAAGTCATTCTTATAAAATTTATGTACTGTACACGAGTAAAAACGTGGAAAAAAACACCTAAAATTATTAAATAATGACACTAAAATAATAATATAATTATAATTTTATAATTGAAATAAACCCTATTCCTGTGGAATACTTCAACTTCGGTATTAGATTTATTTATTTTTCAATATGTCTTCATTTTAATTGAAGATTTCATTTCGAATAATTAATCGAATTGTTTTAAAATTTAACACTGTTATTTAACAATAAATTATTTTTAAATATAAAACATTACGAACGTGGCAGGCATTTCCATCTTTCCTCTTTGCACAAATATTATCTGAGGTGATAAGAAAATACCTTTTGCAAGAATTTTCAGAAATAATACTGAGCCTTGCTTCCTGTAAAGTATCGACGCCCGTGTCATCTAATACAAAAATAATAGAATTAATTAGTTAATGTTGATAGAATGAAAAAGATTAATTAAAAATTGAAATTCACCGGGAGTCTTTCCACCCCATCCCCAAGCGATGACAGTAAGTCCTTCAGTAAAATAAAAGTTTGGTGGTGGTAAACTTATTGCTCTTAATCTGCTGCCCAAAGAAAGAGGTGGTTCGAAGTTAACGATTGCGATATCATTATCGTAGTTATTGCAATCGTATCTGGGATGCAGTCGAACGTTACATATATTCCGAGCCTCTTGATCCCCTTCATTTTGTGAAGTATCGTAGGCATTTATGAGCAAACACATTTCTTTTAGATTCTTTTCCATGCTACAAGTAAAATAAGCACATGGTATTTATTTAATTAAAGAACTGCGATTTTAGAATTTAAACTTAATATTGTTTCTTTTAATTTTTTTGTCGAATTTATTAGTTGATATTTTCCAAATATATATATATTATTCATGATAAAACAGCACGTTAAATACACAATAGTTCGTATGAAACAAGAGATTATTTATTGTGATATCATCACAATGCCTGGCTGCAATTTTTAATAATATTGTTAATTTATTTAATTTAAAATATACCACTTACTCAGACTGGATAATGCTGTTGCACACTTGCTTTTTGCGACATCGTATCTGTGTTTCTTAATCCTCACTCCAAGGCTAATATTAGTGACTCCAATTTAAAATATACTCTTTCTACTTCAAATTAGTGTAGTGTTTTGTCCCTGTATATCATACTTTTCTGTTATTATTGGAGTCCTGTCGGTCATCTACCTAACTCATTTTGGGGTAAAAATTTTGAATTCGAACAATGTAACTTGCGATACAAATCGAACGTTTCTGTATAGTTAATCTGGTCCTAGTCGTTTTACGATTTCCAATTCTCTTTTCGACGTTTATCTATTTAAAATGTGTCTCGAGATTAAGAAGGACAGACAGACAGGTAGAATAATTAACGATTGACAATGAGAATTTATGTCTACAATCTTTTTCAAATTGCAGCCCAATCATCTGTTTATATTATTCTAGTAAAACGTTCTTTTAATTACTACAATATAGTCTAACAATGTATATTGTGCATTTCCCTTATATTAACGAAAGCTTTTCTCTTTAAGAATGTAAATTTTTATTTTTCATGGCAAACATTTCTTAAAAATAGCATTTAATTCTATAATAAGTAAAGTCAACTTAGTTAAAGTGGAAGCTTTAAAAGACTTACAAAAAAGAAGTGCATATCAATCATATATCCTGGTTTGTACAATTACTTTATGAAGTTTAATAAGTTCGTGTTTTGTTAAATGAAATTTACTGAATTAATATTGGTTTTTATTACATGATATATAAAATTTGTATTTAGAAAGTGGTTTGGAACGACAACTCCCTTTTTATATACAGTCGATCCCCCTATAAGATCATTGATTTTTCCGTTTTATCTGAATTACATGTTGTACGAGTCACTTAGATTTTACAAATACGTGTGCCGGGCTGTGAACGGCTCACATATTTGTAAAATCTAAGTGACTCGTACAACATGTAATTCAGATAAAACGGAAAAATCAATGATCTTATAGGGGGATCGACTGTATAACGTAAGTTTCTTATAACACGATTTTTACGATGAATAACCGCATCATTATTACTTTGTATACTACTGTATGTTCTAGATTCTAAGACGAAGTCATTTTAATAAATTTTACTTGTTTCAAGTAGAATTCCGATGGTGTCTTACATTGCCAACAATTCATCAGTATTAGTATCAGTAATGTACTAATGATAGATGTTTTTGGCTATAAGCAATTTGCTCAACAGTCTCATCAATTTAAATAAGCTTTTCTGGTAACGAGTGTTTCATTTCAAGTCTTTTTTACACAATTGTTTTCAAGAATCCTCTTTAAAACAAACATAAATAGATGCAGAAATTTTAATTCAAAGCCATTTTTAACAGAAGAGGGTGGAAATAAGCTGTTGAAAATAGTTTTTGTTTTCAACAGAAGCGAACATAATATTTACTGCATTATATTGTCAATGTACGGTTACTATAAACGAAAATAAGTTAAAATAAATGAAAATTTACCGTATAAATTTCGTGGGCAATATATAAATCCAACATTTATACGACTTACCCGTACAGACAATGAGCAGCTGTCAATAAATGGCTATCTGTAATTACAGTTGCTCCACACATTCCTTGTTTTTTATAATAAATCCGTGCCTTTAAAGTAATATTAGCAAGATTAATTTATAATTTTAAATGTTTATAATATTCTAAATTATCGAAAATCTTATTTCTTACCACGAAATGATAAACATCTAAACCTGCGTGAGTGCCATCAACAATTGCCGCTCGTTTTCGAAATCTATAATACATATCTGTTACACATTGACCTCCTATAAACAAAATAATAATAATAATAATAAACTTTATTGGACTTTTTCTGTAAAAGAAACTCAATAAAAATTAATTCATCAGTTTCCATACTATAACAACAAATAAATTTCACATAGTTGTCTTCTGTTTGTACAGCAAGACATTGTTAATTTGGAATGGGGAAAAGAGAAAAGGTCAACATATTTGCGATGAAGTCAACATGATTTAGTGCTAAAACACTTAAAAAGATGAATTTGCATGATAAAGAATTATTTGAAGTTAGGTGAAGAATACACAGTTAAGTAGAGTCACGGAAGATCGCTGCAAGAACGCGTAATTTTAAGGAAAATTACGAAAGAAACAAGCCCTCTCAGAAATATGTTGCAAAATCCGAACATCGAGTAAGTTTGAGGACAGTTTTGAACGTTGTTTACGCTGTTAATCATCTAGAATACGCCAAAGTAGAAACTAGAGCTTACAGACAAGCACAAGGCTGCTAGATTGACACTGGCCAAAAATCACGTAACCTGTAAGGAAGAGTGGAGGAATGTTGTGTGGTCAGATGAGAAAAAGTTCAATTTAGATGGCCCCGATGATTGCCAATACTATTGGCACGATTTAAGAAAGGAATGAAAAACCTACTCCAAATGACAAATGGGTGGAGGTTCCGTGATACTTTGGGCTGCCTTTGGAGAGCGATAGAAAACAAATACAGTATTGTCTTTTCTAAAGTAAAGCAGAATGCTAAAGGATACATCCAACAGCTAGAAATTCATCTACTTTTCTTTGGAGAAAGACTGGGAATCATCAGTGACAGTTTCAGCAAGATAACCATATCGCCAACATCACCTGGGAATTGTTTCTGGCCAACGGGGATCGAGTCGTGGATTGGTAAATCGTGTCACCAGAAATTTGAACCTTATGGAGAATGCCTGGGGACTTACGATTAGTCAGTCTACGCAAATAGAAAGCAATAATGATAACACCAAAGATTAAAAGGCTGCAATCATTGAGAAATGGGAGGAAATTTCTCATAATTTTCTTCAAAAGTCGATCTAGTCGACGACGGACAGAGTTTTCAAAGTAATCGTACGGAAAGAAGGGCATTCTGGTTATTAGCTTTCATTGAAGAAATGCGTTTCTTCAATGAAATTATTCTATTGTTAACATTATAATTTGATACTTTGTATATAAATGTAAAAACACGTTAAAATACCTTGTAAAATACGTTACCTTATAATATTTGTTTTTATATAATATGTAATATATTAAGGTAAGAATATAATATATAATAATAATTTTTTTCCTTCCCTGCCAATGAGACAGAAAAAATTTATTAAAATATTGGTAATGATATGTTAACTAGTCATTAAACTTGTTTACAATAATTTTCAGGTTACTGGAATATAAGAGGAATCATGGAATTCAATTTTTCTATATCATGTGAAAGCTCTCCTGCACTCAAACTACTTGATTCATTTGGAAAAGTTTGTAAAATAAAATCAGCAGACACACTGAAATTGTGTGCCTCGTTACTCTCAAGCAAGCCAATAAAAAGTAAGGCAATTTCTAGTGGATTAAGATATGAAAAAAAAACAACTGCGGCATATTCTTCTTTTGTAATTACAGTCGACCCCCCTATAACACTGTTGATAATTCCGTTTTATATGAATTCCATGTTGTACGAGTCACATAAATTTTACAAATATGTGAGCCGTTCACAGCCCGACACACGTATATGTAAAATCTAAGTGACTCGTACAACATGGAATTCATATAAAACGGAATTATCAAGTGTTATAGGGGAGTCGACCCCCCTATAACACTGTTGATAATTCCGTTTTATATGAATTCCATGTTGTACGAGTCACATAAATTTTACAAATACGTGAGCCGTTCACAGCCCGACACACGTATATGTAAAATCTAAGTGACTCGTACAACATGGAATTCATATAAAACGGAATTATCAACAGTGTTATGGGGGAGGTCGACTGTACTTCTGTGAAAGAATATGGCGTGTTTCTTCATCCAAAATACCCATTTTTAGCTTGTGGATAATAACAAAGTGTTAAAAAAACTGTTTTATAAACGTTAAGTTTGTAAAACAACTGAGCTAATTGTTATTTTTATTTTACAATTTGAGTTTTATTATTTGAAATTTTTCTAGATGTTGTATAAAGTGTGTATTTTTTTAAATAATAAAAAAGAGTTTTTGTTTTAAAAATTATAATTACTTTATTAGTTTACAAATTTACAAACATTTATTCAACTATAGTACAAATTTTAAAAGTACTTTAAATTGAAATTCCACGTTGAAAATCTTACTGTGTATACTAGAATACATTCTTAATCTATACTAGAGTCTAAAATGAAAAAAAAAAATTATATACTATGTTAATAGTGAAACAAATTAAGCATCTCTTCTAACAATGCATGGTCTAAAATTGCATAACATAAAACACCTAAATATAAATTCAATGCCAAGTTTGGTTACTGTCGAATGCCTCAAAAGTTTGTATTCCTATAATACGTTCAATATGTATTTTTTTACTAGATATTTTTCTATCTCGAGATAACAAACTGCTGTTCGGCTGTGTTTTCCTTTCATTAAAGTGGGTGTATTTACCACAACGTCATTAGTAATTAGCAAGTCCTGAATGTTAAAACCTCTATCAGCCATTACACACTCTTTTGCCTCTGTTATTTTACATTGTGAAAACCTTTCGATCACTTGCAGAACCATCGTATGCTTCTGAAAGAAAACTTATCAGATCACCTGGTGTGCAACCTACAACTGATTTTAATGTATATTTGTAAAAACTATATTGGCCTCTTTATAAAGATGGCAACATAGTCCTCACAAATATATACAAAACTAGACAAAAAGCGTATTATAATATACTTTTAATGTGTTGTAATTTTTATATGATGACAATGTAGCCTGCTGTTAAACAGAGTATTTTGGTTTGCTTATTTTGCATTCTAAAAAACAATAACTTTAGTGTTTAAAAATTTCATTTTGAAATAACTAGGCATGCATGTGTCTACAAGAGATCTCTCACTCCATATATCGAATTCTCGCCATTGTAAATACATGAAATTGATTAAAGTGATGAAAATATTTCGTACTGTTTCTTCAGATACACTGAACATCCTACTAAACTCAAAATTTGCTGTATTCAATCTTAATTTTTTTAAAGTCAAGAACAACTGGTTTGGCACTGAGACTGTTACAACCTGTACATATTTGTTATATATACTGTCATATTATATATGTCATACTTGTAATATCTTAAGCTGTTATTTGTGCTGCCGGTCACAAACTTTATAGTACAAAATTGAAAGAATTGTAGTTCTCTAACCCAGTATAGTAATGTATAGAATTGTTGTCAAACTCAAATCTTTCAACTGATATCGGGATTCCAAAGTGTGTGTCTGTGTAGTTACAGAGTGCTTACCACATCATTTTTAATAGTCCCAGGTAACCTCCTCTTCCTCCTCTTCCTCCTCCTCCTCCTCCTCATCCTTCTCCTCATTTATTATTATTTCTCCTTCTATTTCTAATGTACCAGTATCTATAATCTCGGATGCCTCATGATTATCTTGAACTTTGCTTTCACGGTTTTCTTTTCTTGTTCGTCTGCTTGCAACCGAAGGTGCCTCTATTTTAGACCAAAAAAATACATTTGATACAGAATCAGCCTTCAATTGTGTCTTTGCTTGGAGGTTTCCTAATAAAATAAAATAAATCTATTCATTTTTCATCAAGCATAAAAAATTAACAACTAAATCCATGCTACTATATATGCATTTTAACCTTTATTAACTTAATAGACCATCCTCAGGATAAATTTTTCTTGAAACATCTCTACCGTTAAGAATCGTTCAAAATAGAATGAATAAGTATGCGAACGGATTGATAAAAAAAAATTATTTAACGCATCGATAGAAGAGTTTTAAAAAAGTAGAAGAAAGCAAGCTAGTTAACATATTAACTTTCTTTGAAAAATGTCTGAACATGAGACTATTTGCCAAGATTATTTGCGTTCGCAAAAACACATAAGCTCGGTAAGGAAATAATATCGCTAGTAGTAAAATGTAGAGGACCGACCTATATTCTTCATAAGCGATTGCACAAATGCATTACCATCAATTTTGAGAATAGTACAGTAGACCCCCCTATAATATGGTAGGTACGTTCCGTTTTATATGAATTCGTGTTTTACGATCACTTAAATACATGAGCCAATCACAGCTCGGGACGTATTCAAGCTAGGGACTACGGCTTTTTGAAAGGTTTTCTTTCGTAAAATTAATCGATTCTAGAATAATTTGACTCAACATTTCCAAAACACATAATTTTTTGGGAATAATCCATATAAACTATGTTATAAACAAAAAATTGTAGGATTACTTACCGAGTGTGCACCGTTCGAGGACGCCATTGCTTAATTAAGCTTCTTTTCGTCGTGGAGCGACGCATCGAACGGCGGGCGCGTGTTTCCTGATAAGTTATTTTTGTGCGGAAATTTCGCTGAACTTTGGATACATCATTAATATAAATATAATTTTTATGGCCGTTAAATAATAAATGGGTTTTAGTAGGTCCGCTGCTCGTTTAAACTCAACGGTTTGTGCAATATCCGCTATTGGTCTAGATTCAACCAATCCTATCGCGACACGAGTCGGCGATGACGTTTTACCGTATTATACGAGTCTCTTTTAGCGTGTTTATACGAACACAATCGCAATTTTTTCGCCGTTACATGCGATTCCGTATTATATGAACCCGTTTTATAGGGGGTCTACTGTATATTGATTGCACAGAACCCAGAAAAAGTGGTGAAAGAATTACCAGATCTTATGTTAATAATGAGGAAATAGGGATGTAACGGACTGCATGGAGAACTTGTACCCTTTAATGGTTGTAAAGGATCTAATATGATTGTAAAAAAAGCCCTAACTGTGTATCAAATTTTAAGAAACGATAAGGATAGATTAGAAACAGAAGAAATGGCAAGAATACCCGGGGTACATTGAACATGCTGTTGGGAATAGACAACGATTACATCGGTGTAATCCACAAGGAACTTGAGAATTAGACTTAGGGGAGATCGGGGCAAGATCGGCATGTTAAGCTTTACTTAAATTTTGTGTAATAAATACTGCTGTAAACTGAAAAAAAAAGCTTTGCATATTGTCTATTGGAATGTTACCTTACTATAGAACTGGTTAAAATCAGTTTGGAAATAAAAATAATTAAAATAATTACAACTTTACAAGAAGAGAGAAATTGACGAAGTTGCCCCGGGTATAGGGGCAAGATCGGCAACTTCTCTCTTTTTGTAAAGTTGTAATTATTTTAATTATTTTTATTAAAGTTGCCCCTGGTATAGGGGCAACAGTAATGGGGCAAGATAGGCACGTATATAAAATTATGTTATTAACAATGTATAAGTTGGAATTCACTATTAAAACAAAGAAATACAAATCCAACACCCATTTAATATTATTACAACGAAATGCAAGTTCAAAGACATATATACATGAATAACAAATGCAAACATGTTTTCATTTATCATCTGTTTGATTTTTATCCTTTGCTTCTAATGTGGCTTTATGTTGCCGATCTTACCCCGCTAGTCATGATTTCGAAACATTAAGTACAACCCTGAGAACAGAATGCCAAGCCACGATCTGGCCACGTGAATAAGTTGAAGTTACATCCTTCTAACAGGAAAAGTAACTTTCGTTATCATGGAATTATAACAAAACCTGCCAATTCAATATAAATGGAAAAAAAATATTATATGGAATTGAACGAAAATGAAAATTTGCTTGATAATTCAACTACGCTTGTTGGAGAACAATAAAAACACTACACTCAACAAGCCACCAATAAAACTCAACTGCCTAACCTATAACCAAAGTCTCCTTTTAATTTGTTTTTAAAAAAAGCGCTTGACAAACTTGCCCCGCATGCCGAAGTTGCCCCGATCTCCCCTATATAACATCAATATAACGTAAGAAAGGAATTCAATAGCACGGTACTATCCAGGATGGCGGCTCGGTGATAAAATGGGAAGAAGCAAGCATCGTTAAGTCAATACACTCCCCAACATTAGCACAGAACGCTGAGAAACTTTAAATATGTAAAAGCAGATGATAAAAGCTTAGCAACAGCATGAAAATACATTGTACAAAACAAGATCGTTAAAAGCTCTAATTACTTCATTTTCTACTACTGTATATATTTTTTGTGTTAGTTATTTTGTATTTTAACCTCATCATTCCTCTAAACAAGACTGTAGCCATGTATTTTCTCTTGATAAGAATCCATCCCGATTTTAGAAAAATCTTGTAAACGTGTAGTTAATGACATGGATATTATAATCGATGGTAAACTCGCCTATAAACATCATATTGATAAAATAATCGAAGATTTGGCAGAAACTGTAAACACATTTCATCTAAATAAGCCCTAATTATTAGTAAATTAAATAAGCATTATTTAATTTACTAATTTTCAAACGATCGTTGATTATTGTCAACATATGTGGGCTATTTCTTATAATAGGACAATTCTTATAAAGTCATTAAAGATATTTCTAAAATTTATCTTCTGTTAAATAAACTTTCTAACTTACCTTTTACCGGTTCTCCTGAAATTTCTCTTACACGATTCGGTCTCCCAAGCATAGATAAAGTTACATATTTTGATAGAATTTTAATTTATATAATTTTTATAGAGTAATTTTTCCTGCACATTTTGATATATGAATATTTAATTTCATTACTCGTACTGTTTGCCTTTATTTACTCTAATTTAGATTTAATATATCCCAAGGGACATTCTTTTATAGGTTTATAAATTCAATTTAAAATGTCGCAAATATTTTATATGCAGAATACAGTATATTAAATTTACAAGAACATTGCAAGAAATCCTTACATGTTGTATAGTTTAAACCGAGTTATTTATTATTAAATGCTTTTAAATTTCTTATATTACTTTACACTTAATTAACAGATTTTAACTATCAAGAGCAACAAAAAATCCTTACTATTATCATTATTGTAATCTCTACGGAGTGTAACCTGAAATTTTTAGAAATTTTTAATATAATTTACAAATAAATAAGTTAAATATTTAAGTTATAAAGTATATATAATGGTAATAACTTACCTTGTCACTTAAACATGAAGAACAAATCACGAAAATCAGTATAGACACAAGAACTGATTTTAAAGCCATTGGAATGAATAAAAAATTTATTTTTAAAATGTTATTTTTTTTCTAATTTAACATAAACAAGAGGCAATAAATTTTCATNATGATAGGAAGGATTTCATCTTAAACGTACGGAGTGACAGAAAATGCAACTTATTACGCAGAATAGAGAGGACGAGTTCCACAATTTAACAGAATATAAAAAATTTATTTTTAAAATGTTATTTTTTTTCTAATTTAACATAAACAAGAGGCAATAAATTTTCATGATATACAAATTTAATAAATAGGAATCAGTTAAAAACTTTGATATTAATAAACAAGTTTAGTTCGTTTGAAAACGAAATATCGACGTAAGTTGCAACTTATTTATATATTTTCAAACATCCGTGATTAAATTTATTTACTGAGTCATCTCTATTGAATAATTACACTAAAGATTAAAAAATGATAAATCTATTTTGTATAAATAACGTTGATGTAACCGTTTATTTTATTTTTTGGGGTGTTTTTTTAAACACCCAAAAAAATCCGTGCCTATTAGGTCAGTTGTTAAGAAAATTGGATTCGATGTTGGATAAAAAAAGAGCTGGAAGCATGAAGAATTCGTTGGAAGTGCCCATTACTAACACATTGTTGAGAAGGATGTTAAAATCAAAATGTCTTTCTTTATTAACCAATATGCAAATCGCATTTAATGATATCTGTGGAGAATGAAAATAAAATATTATTATTATCGTAATAAGAATTGTTTCTATACGGTTTATAACGTTTTCCTTGTAAACATGACTGTAACAATAAAAAATCTGTTCTTTTTTTCTCCATATAGACAGTCTAGTATTTTCTATGCATTATTCCAATGCTGCTATCTATTTATACGGTGCTTACGTATGTTGTACAATTTACACGTCGGGTCACGTAAATTGTATTAGATACAATAATTCAAATAAACTTCAGTAGCTTTATTCTTACTATCGATAACTTTTATCATAAGTAATGGTAATGCATGGTTTCTTGTTGTTTATTAAGTTATAGCAACGCAACACTTAGCGATCTGCTTAGGGGGATGCCTTCCGGGAAGTCTTTTTAAGGGAAACTGGCTTCTATTTAGGAGTTACAAACGTGGAGAAAAACCGGAAAACTCTACCCCTAGAGAACCCACGACGGAACTCCCAGTGTTCAGGGTACGAAGATCGTTTGGCCACTGGTGGGCTATCCATGGTTTCTGAAATTAGTCTATGTATATCGCATAATTTCCGGTTTTACTTTTAAGGGGCGCAATTCACAAGGGTTTTTCCCTTAATATAAATCAAAAATTAGACACCAATGGAAAAGGAAAAAATTTTTCTCGAATTTCAAATGCCAAATATTTCAAAATGTGATCAACGGTCGAGAGTTTCAGATAAAAGGAAACGATAGAGCATGCGATATTGCGAGTAGAACTAATAGGGTGGAAGCAAGGTGTGTAGGGGAGATCGATCAAATGGCAACAATCCATTAGCCGCCAGTCAACAAACAATCCGAGTCCTTACTTGATATTCGGATGGCTTCCATCTAATCAACACGTCGCCGATTGATTGGAAGATTTAAACGACTCGTCTACAGATTTCTTACCATTATCGTAGTATTTGTTAAACAAGATACAGTTAATCCTTCTATAACGCAGTACTTATACAACACGGCTTCGATATAACATAATTCCTATACGTATAAGGATCACGTTGTATCGAAACCGCGATATAAAAGTTCATACGAAATCATCTCTTGTTCTAGTAAATGATTTTTTTAGTTACTGCAATATAGTTCGCCAATGTAAACTATGCTTTTTCCCCCTATATGGTGAAAGCTTTTCTCTCTAATGATAAAAGAATTTTGCATAGGTATGCAATTTTATACACTGGAATTTTTCTGTTGCAGCTTGTGTGTAATTTGCAATGCTGCTTACAATTTTCTTTTTCTTTACAGTTGCAATCTTGAAAATAACATTTAATTTGAGGCCAAATTAGTTAAATTTACAAAAGCGTATCAATCGTGAGTGATCAAAATTGTATATCCAGGTTAATAGTAGAATTATTTTGCAAATTTAAATTTTAATAAATTTGTTTTTGTTTTGTAATTTGTGTTTTTTTTAAATGAAATTTTCCGAATTAAAATTATATTTGTTACTTGATATATAAAATTTGCATTATGTTTATTTAAAAATAAAAGCTTTATCATCATTCTACAAATATTATTTACCTTCATCTTTTCAAATTTTTTCGTAGATTTATTATAAAATAAAAATACTAACGTTGAGATATAATTTATAACATCATAAAAATCTTATTACCTTTTCAAAATAAATAATATAATGTAAGAGAGTGGTAAAGTTTAGCGAAGAGATTTCACAAATGAACATTTGTGTATCACGAATACAAAAATACTTTGAAACTACTTGTGAATTAGTTTCAAGGGGAGTGTTCGAAGTAGAAAAATGCAATGGACAAATGCAGAACGATCGAACAGTTTGCAAGAATCATAGGAAGGATTTCATCTTAAACGTACGGAGTGACAGAAAATGCTACTTATTACGCAGAATAGAGAGGACGAGTTCCACAATTTAACAGAATGATCATAGCAACACACCAAAGGCCAAATCATTTCGTGAAATTGTGGAGTTTGTGATCTAAATTCTGCATGAATAGTAGTATTTCCTGCAATGCCGCACATTTAAGTTGAAATCTTTCAGTTCATTATTGTAATCTGTTCGATTGTTTTTTAGACAATTCTTCTTGTTCGTACAATTTGTCAATAGCTTTCTTCTACCTCAAACACTTCAGTTAAATTAATTCGCAAATAGTTGCAAAGTGTTTCTATATTCGACACACGCATCTGTTTATTTGTGAAATCTCCCCTCTAAACTCTACTACAAAGTGTAGCAATAATAATCAAAAATTCAATGAAAATGATTTAAAAAAAATATCTTTTTACAAAACAATTGCATTGCTTAAATAATTCTTCAAAAATGTAATAAAAACATGCATATACAGTATATAATTATTTTCTCTATATCTAAAGTTTGTTTTGTTCAAATCATCAAAAAATTTACTTTAGAGTAAGCGTGATTTGCGAATGATATTGCTGTTAAAGAGTTTTATGGAACGTAAGCAAGTATGTTATTTATAAATAAATTATATATATATATAGAATTAGCACGGATCACGGGGAAAAAATTTAGTTACGTTAATTATTTCATATTAATAATAGTGTATCTTTATTTATTCGACTTATTCCTCATAACAGAAGAAAAAAAGGAAACACAACATCAATAGGTACTCGTAAGAGAAAAAGTATCATATACCTGCGTACAATAAATGACTTCGTACTTAAATAACATCGTGTACATATACGTAAAGTTAACTTCATTATTATGCAAAATTCATTAACGAAGACGGTCTATTATCAGTTGCCCGAAATTCCATGGTTTAGCAGTAAGTAAAAATCGGAACAGCAAGTAATTGTTTAACATAAGCAGCCAACAACTAACAGATTTAGTAAAAAGCACGAATAAAAAACTAGCACATTTAAAAACGTTTTTGAATATGAAATAGTCTTGCTGACTCACATTTTCATCAGTTATGTATACATAGAAAGAGAAAGTACAGTGTGGAGATCATTTCAGAACTGATTCCAAAATCTTTTGTGAATCTGTAGGTTTCCTGACTCCTTGAACAATAAATGACAATAAAAGGCAAAATAATTTAAATAGGTATGTGGGTGTGTGGTGGCTTCAATTTCGTTTAATATCTCAAAATAATATAATTATGGAACGAAATTTGGCACTATAGCTTGTGTGTAAATAGCGTTAATATTAAACTTTGATAGAGACGAATTACACGTAGCAGAGTGGCGCAGTGGGAGCGTGCTGGGCCCATAACCCAGAGGTCGGTGGATCGAAACCACTCTCTGCTATCCTCTTCATTTTGCTACTTTTTCCATTGAACGTCGTTCATCGTTTTCACCATTTCAATTTTGTAACGCGTTGGCAACTGAAGTTTTTGCTTTTTTTCAGGATCGAGACTAATGAAACCGATCGGCTGATCGAGGCTCTTTTTTTTTTTTTTCGTTATTCGTTAGAAAACAAACATTGGCCGATGCGAAGACTGAAAACAACGTTTTCGTATTTATTGCAAATTTTTCTCATTCAGAGATTTAAGTTCACGGACACACGAAAATGTGTATTTCACGACAAGTAAAATTTCAATTTGAAACACGCATAAAAAATTTACAGGTCAGAAACGACAATATTACAGCAAGCATTAGACACTTGCAAGTTAATCAAAGTTGCTGTAATTAAATGAATGAAATAGCTTAATTTTTTTATTAACCACAACCGGCATTCTTTCTTTTTGTATGTATGGATGTTAGTGTGTATGGGGACACGATTTTCTTCACTGGCTTTGAAGCTTAACTCCTGTGCCTTTTGTCGAAAATTTCTGAAATTTGTGTATTAAGATATTCTGGTAACACTTGGCGTCCAAAGGGCCACAATCATTACAAATTTCTCTTGAGATTTTCAAAAATACAGATAACCTTAGTTTAGAATCAATGAATGGTTCGACATTTTTATAATTTTATTCATTAGAAAAAGCATTATTTTAACTTTAAAAAGTTCAAATAATCCTGTTTATAATAAACATTTTTATAAAATACTCCTATCTGAAATATTTCAAACCGATTAACGTTATTACGTAACACGTGACGTAAAAATTTTTTATGATTGATCGTAATACATCACGTGTTATTAACAATATATTCCAACAATACGTAACGAATTGTTAGAATGTGTTGTTGGCTATTTCTATGGTAAGTGGTTTAAGCGTAAGTTTGTTGGAGAATTTCACGTTTTTTTCTTCCTTTCTTTCAGATTTACCGAAGAAATTGTGATTATGTAAGTATATTTCAGGATTGTACGAGAGGCAGAGAGGGTTTTGTGTGTACCGCTTATTAAAGGCACACTTGGGTGAAGACAGAAGATGCGACGAAAGGGAAAAACGGCTCTTCTTCTTCTTCTAATAGGTTAATATGGAGAGGTTAGCTCT